TTCTCTCTTCTTGTCTTCCTCTGCTTGCTCTTCTCTCCTTCTAAAGATGGTTACGCCCCAAAGTCTGTTTACCCTCTTCGGTATGTTATTGTTAGCACTATACTTTTATTATTGATTTGATTTTGGTTTTGGTTTTTTTTGTTTGTTTTGGTTTAGTTTTTTTTTTTGTTTCACCTTAATTCTTATTTGTAGCTAGCACTTTGGCTTAAAGTTGAATAGTAAATCTTTTGCTATTTTTCTTTTGCTGTTTAAAACTCTCCATAGACACAGATTTTTCTTTTAATGCATGCTAATGTATTTTGCATGGTCTTTAATTTAATATCATTCACATAGCTTTGAGGGTTTATCAGAAATTATTCTTTTCAAAATTCACTATTCAAAATCTTTATCTCCTTTATTCATTTGTGAGAGTGGTGAGCTTGAGTGAGTGATCTTGTGCTGTCTGAGTGTTCCATTGATATGTCAAAATGTATTACTTACGTGACTGGCTTTAAAATGAACTTTTTCTTTTGGGTTACCTTTGACTTTGAAAAGGTGTTTATGGTGATGTGCAGCGTGTGAAGATTTTATACAATAAGAAAGACAGTGCTCTTATACAGATGGCTGATGGAAACCAGTCACAGCTGGGTAAGATTAGCTTTCTGTTTATATTCCTGTTATTCTAAGTACTTTAAATTATGCTGTGTAAAATCAGGTGAACTAAGCATGTTTACATTTGTCGGTTTGTCTTGTATCCAGGTTACCCACAAGGTGCAATATCTTATTGCGTGCACTTGTATTCCAGAAGGTCTGCACAATATCCTAAATAAACAGCTGAATCATATGTGATGATCTTTAAGTAAAATCAAGTACTCATGCAGATTCTGCACACCTAGTTCTTGATTCCAGTCTTTTAGCACATGACTCTCTGATTTGCTTAGGTGTTTTTCTTGTTTGCTTATGTGATGTACCACAAGCTATTGAAAAGTAACACGTAAATAATAAATATGTCTTTTTCAGCCATGAGCCATCTTAATGGACAAAAAATGTATGGAAAGATTATTCGGGTTACGCTTTCTAAACATCAGACAGTACAACTACCTCGAGAAGGACTTGATGACCAAGGGCTGACTAAAGATTTTGGGAATTCACCTCTGCATCGCTTCAAGAAACCTGGTTCAAAAAACTTTCAAAATATATTCCCTCCTTCTGCAACGCTTCATCTGTCCAATATTCCGTAAGTGTTGGCTGTCAGTAAGCCAGTAGTATTAATGTGAATCACAACACGCTGAATTGACTAATAATTCTTGCTTATGCTTATTTTCTTTCTGCCTGTAGACCATCAGTAGCAGAAGAGGACCTGCGCACATTGTTTTCTAACACTGGAGGCACTGTGAAAGCATTTAAATTTTTTCAGTAAGTAACTTTTCTGTATATAGCTCTAACAAAAGACTGCTGAAGTGTGTTTTTGCACTTTTCCTTAAGACATACTGCATAGAGGATAGCTAACATTGGGAGCAACGCCTGAGTGTTCGAGTTCCTAATGCCATTATTTTGTTTCAGAAGAGATCACAAGATGGCACTTCTTCAGATGTCAACAGTAGAAGAAGCTATTCAGGCTTTGATTGATCTTCACAATTACAATCTGGGAGAAAATCACCATCTGAGAGTTTCTTTCTCTAAGTCAACTATTTAAAAAGGCAGATTGAAAATGAGGGTGAATTGCATTGTTTGGTCTTGTCACCTATTGACTGTTCTGGAAAGTGGGGACCAGAGTTTGTCTTCTGTTGTTTTTTTATTTTTTATTTTTCATGCTGTTATCATTCCTTGGTTGTTTAAAAAAGAAAAAAAAATTCTAAAAGGAGTGGTATCAACTGCTGTTGTTCAACTGTTGTTTAGATAAACCATCATTTTGTTTAAAAGATTTCAAGTTAATACCACAGTTTTTCAACTTAGTTGACGTATGTGCCTTAAAAAGGAAAACTAGTACTGCTAGAATTGCATAGCTAGTAAAAAGCAGATTTGGTTGTCTGGGGCACACTGTTACATAATAGTTTAAATATGTGTAGGCAGGGGTGTGTAAAAAGGTTAAGCTTTTATTCCTCCTGCTTGATAGATTTCTTTATCTGCTGGCTTGTCACTTATTTTTCTTTTTGATTGGATAAGATGCATTATGCTGAAAAAGTAAAATGATGTTATTTGATTTCTGCTACTTTTTGCTTTGTGCCCTTCTTTTAAAAAGGCCTTTTGTATTTCATGGTTCTGGTCTAGATTCAGTTATGAATGTAGGCATTAATTAAAATTAACAAGGTACAGAACATTAATTTCTTAAAGGACAAAAAGTGACTTCTGTGACTTTGAGCCCTACGTGAAAAGCATTGTGGAATCTTAACCTTTTTGTACACACTTGTGGGATGTATCATATAAATGTCAGCACTAAGTAATGTCTTGTTTGTGGCTGAATATTTTTTGTAGATGTTTTTGAAGTTGACATGACTTATGTGCATTTCAATATATATTGCCATCTTTAGTTTGTAATTAAGATATGGAATATGGTTGTGGATTTCTGAGCATGTACAGACTGGTCAAGCTAGTTCAGGAAATGGTGCATGTATTTTTCAATGATGAAAAAAGTTTGCTGCAAATGCTTGCAGGAAATTTTGTGGCAGTTTCCTAAAACTGACAACCAGGTGGGACCAAAGTTTATGTGCCTTTAGTCTTAATTTACCTTGCATTGTAATATTCAGTTTTAATAAATCTCTTCAAAATATTTTGTATTTAGAAATTGATCAGACTTTACTATAAACATGGCTCAGAATCTACAGATCCAATTAATTTGAAAGCAGTTCTCTGTCAGTCTGAACTGTTACCTTGATTCTGTTTGAATGACCAATACTTTTTGAAATTGATGTACTTAGTTTCAAGATTCATAGATTCTGTTATCTATGTAGAAGAAAAATGGTCATGTATATTTTCTATTAGTTGAGTTTTTACATCTTTAGAACTGTAAAATTCAGTATAGTTTGAAAGTGGCACAATTAAAAATTAATTTTCTAACAAAGTTGGGAGGTTTGACGGTTGTTTAATTTCATTTTGTGTGTACTCTGCTTACCTCTGTAGCATGCTCAATAAACACTTCTGTAGCTCTGTATTCACCTTTTCTGTCTTTCTCTGCTGCTTTCTATCTCTTCTCTTCTTTGTTTTTTCACTTCTACTGTGCTTCTAAATTCATGTTTATTCTCTGCCAGGGTGGGAAAAGCATAATATTAAAAAATACAATACATGTTTTTTTTACCATAAACCTGGTGCTGTGAAAAATAGCAGCTCTTTATTTTCAGAAAGATAGTGACCCCTTTGCAGGCCTATGTGCATATTAAACATTTCCCACCCTGTTATAACTTACTGCTTTAAAGACATAACTTTTATTGTAGTTCGTAAGCTCTCTCTTTCTATCTTTTTAGTTTTTAAGCAGATTTATGCACTAATAGATCTCTCAGGTTTGCCATGCTCTCTTGCTGCAGTTTCATCTTTCATTGTTTCTGTGTCTGCTAAAGGTTTTCTACTAATCATACAGTATGCTCATGGGTTAAAGTAACAAAGTTTTTAAACATCAGATTAGTGAACCCTACATATTCCAGACCAGGATCTTTCACCTTTTCAGAGACGTGGGTTCAAATGAATGTAAAAACAGTTTGGGCACTTTTGAACTGATTGTTGTGGTGTTTTTCCTCCTCGATTAGAAAAAGGATTAAAACTTTTAAACAGTCCCTTTTTAAGAGTAACTAACTATGATCCTGAAGCAGTGCATTGGTGAAGGTGTTATTGTTCAATTTGAAGCATTTTTCTGTCACTTCTGCAGTACAACCACTGTAGATTTATTGATGTCAGATTACTTTGTGAACCTGATATGTGTTCTTGGGGTTGGGTTTCAAATCAATAAATAGCTATCAGCTGTTTAAAGGTCATGATGTAAGGTAGGGGACTTGCATTAATCTTCACTACATTAAACAAAATGCATTAGGTTCTTACCTGTTTTATCAGAAATACACCCAAGATACGATTGACTTATGCTCCAGGTATCACAGTGATCACTCAGTCTGAAATTCTAGTAGAATCAGATCCATCCGTACATGAAATTTGTGAATCAACATCATTTACAACTCAGGCACCCAAACTCATTGATGTGACTGTCTCCCAGTTGACTTGAACAGTAGTTAAGGGTCTGTCTGACTGAGCTAATCTTTCAAATTTTTCACCTATATAGTATGATGTCCCATATTTTTAAAAGTAAAAATGTGTCAGATTTTGTTTTGCATCTCAGAATGTGCTTGCATGTTTCAGATAGAGATGTGCATTGAAATTTACCATTCCATGGGTTCAGCTGGTGCTGAAGTGTTTCTCCTCTAAAACATTGGTTTTAGATAGCATACCATGATTGCTGTATGTATAATTTTGAAAAAACTTCAAACATCTGCAGTGCTTGAGTGTTTACAAATACAGGGGTTTTGTAAAACTGTAACTTGCTCATCTCTTGTCAGGCTTATGTCCTTAAAAATAAGTTTCAGTACTGCTTTTCTTGTTTTGAAAAGTTCTGTGTCAAAAACCTGATGGGAAAGAATATATATTGAATTTGATTTGTTATAAATTCAGTAACTTTTATTATGAGGTTATATTTATATCACCAAAATTTAAAAGTAATGATAGTCATAATTGTCATGGAAGCGTTTTTTGTTAAGTTAGTGAAGAAAATGATACTTAGTCTTTAAAGTACTATCTCTTCAGAAAATACAGGTTTAATGTCCTAATTGCTAGAACTTTCAGTAACTTGTTTTTCTTGAGATGGTACCACGTTTTTTGTAGTAAGTTGTACATTTTTGTTGTTATAAAATGTAAGCAAATTTCTGTTGTATTTTTATCTCTTCAGAATGTGAAAATGCAAAGCATCATTTTTATTAAAATTTTACTAAAAAGAAGGCTTATGAATAACTTATACACTCCGTGGCATGTGAGTTTTCAGATTACTTTAGTAGAACTTTACCATAGGCATGCTGATACTCCAAACTCAGTTTGAGTTTTAAAATAATTTTAGTATTTTGACAGAAAGCAGTTGCTGACTCTTTTTTTTTCTCTTTGTGAGATTTTTCTCTAATGGAGCAAGGAAATTGGTTGGAGAAGTCCAAAAATTACTCTTTGATCAAGTAATGTCCACTGGCAAATACAATATGTAAGTGGAGTAAAACAAAACCTCATAGCATTCTGACTGGCAAAACTTCAAAGTTAAGTGAATGCACTCAGAAGTATTTCTTTATATTGTGATTTAGCCTGTTATTAAAAGGCACCTTTGCCCTGCAGGAATAACAGCCCATATGACTATTCATAGATTGCCGTTTTTAATGTTTTACATTAATTTTCAGTTTTATAAGCCATCTTAAAAAAAATCCCTTTGATTCATGTTAAGTTTCTTAACGTTTATTATAGCATGTTACAACATGAAAGCACCAATCAGGCATTTATCTGCAGTAATTATGGCACTGCAATTTCATACCCTGGCTTACTCCAGATAATTTGTCTAGTTCTCTGCTTGGATAATAAGTAGTTCTGCTGAAACACTAGAAAAAAGATAAAATTTATTTGTCTTCAAACAAATACATGAATCCAGTAGTGCATCTCAAGAATTGGCTTTCCCAGTATTAAATGTTTTACAGTGAGCAAGGGTTCTTGAAAAGATTTGGTTGTGTTAGGTAGGGATGAGGCTGAAATCTGTCTGTCAGACCTTAATCCATTCCGGAGACTGAGACAACTTTAAGTTCAGAGTTTTGCTGAGGTGAACAAGTTTTATTTTAAATAATTTGGCAAAATACGCCATCTCCTGTAATCCTGGTCTGTGTAGAAAGGGTTATGTAAGTTGTGAATGTGGTCAAGATTGTGTCTGAAGATAGGTTTTCCCAGGTCTTGCAACATCTGCGATGTTTCTTGCCTTGCTGGTCTCTTGGGGAGCAGCTGCAGCCTGCTGGTGCAGGTCTCATCCACACAGAGGACGAGGAGAGAGACTGTTTTATTGGAACAGTGGGATTTGGCATGCTGTTTTCTACTTAATGGGCCTTGGTGAAGTTAACCAGTGGACTGCGGTAATCTTAACTGTAGAGATGATAATCTATTATAAATTATTCTGTTAGTCCACAGTTAGCTTGCTAGAACCAGTGACAAGGTTCCTGCCTTGATGAGGAATTACATGCCAGAACAGTGAAGCTTCAGAGAATTTAACTTGTTCTGTTTCTTTTAATGTAAGAATTTATTTAGAATTACCTAATAAGAGTCTCTTGAGCTTTGAAAATTTCTACAGTCCATTTACACACACACGTGTATGCATGTTTGGCCTCTTCAGGAAGGTTAACAAAAGGAGACTGGCGAGTTCCTGCTTCACCTTAAAAAAATGCCATTTTTACTGTATGATATGCCTTTGTTGTAATTTTCTGGGTTTACTGAACTTTCCCCTGATCCACAAAGTGAATTTGGAAGAGGATTACGTTGCTTTGTTTTTCCCCATTCAAAGTTTGCAGCATGTAATGTTTAGTATCTCTATTTGGTCTTGATTACTTCTGCATGCAGGCAGCAAAGGAAAAGCAAAGAACTTTTCTTCCTTGGGAAAATGTGAATTCAGTGCACATTGGCTTAAATATCTCAAAAACCCCCTCAAAATAGGACTCCTATTATTGAAGAATTCTGCATGTTTTATGAGTTTCAGCCCAGTTTTGTAAAGAAATGAGACAAGCATAATTGCGCTGTCTGTGTGTGAATGTCCTGTTCCCTAGATAACTCCTGTCTCCTCCCTGT